ATTGTTATTTTTAATATTTTGAGATATATTTTATTATACCTCTAGACCCCCCCAAAATTCTCAACACACTGGTGCAGTTAGTTATGTGACCCCAATTCCCAGCCATTCTCCACCCTTCCTTCTGAGGGAAACATGCCCATGTGACTGACTGAGCCAGGCATTGGGTGGCCACAGCTCCTCTGCATGTTGGCAAGAGTCCTCAGTGTGAAGAAAGGGAACACTCTGGGGTGGCACTTTCCGGATAGCACAGCCCCCAGTTCCTGGCTATACCAACATAATCTAAAGTTCTCATTCCCCTGAAGAAAATTCCCTGCATGGAGTCATACCAGAAAAAGCACTTGCAGAGATTACAGAAAAAGCTTTTGTTTAGTTCATTGAAGATAGTAATTGCTAGTTAAAAAATGTGTCTGTTGTGATGTACCAAATAAGCATGTTTATTGAAATGGTACTTGTAGCGGGGATGTATTAAAAATTATCAGTGGGGTCTGGTCTTTGTAAATTTTCGATTAGCTTTTCATCCCTCCTCTGCCCAGGAATTCATCCCCTGCCCAGAGCCCAGAAAGACCTTCCTAAAATAACCTGACCTTCCTTTTCCCCTTGCTCTCAAGGTAATGTGAACACTCCTAATCATGCTGCAGATCTTCCCATGGGTGCCTCTGTCCCTCCTACCTCTTCCCACCTCCTCCATGGGCTCCTTCGTTCCAGGCACATTCAACCCCTTGCAATTTCTGCCTTCCCCATAAATAGTCCATGAGCCTCAACCTTTGTCTCCATGGACATCTAGTCCTAAAGCACATTTCTAGGCCCCTTCCTGAGCCATGGTGAGTAACCATGTTCCAGACTCTTCACTCTTAGAAGCTGCCAGGGTTGCCCCTGCTCTGTGTTCCCTCAGGTGTAAAGATGCCTACTGTGGCACTAAAGTCTTCTGAAGAGTCCATTACTTTGCTTATCATGTGCTTTAGCCTATACCAGGGGCTTCCTGATGTCAAGAGCCTTGACTTATTTTCTCTGAATCCTCGGCACCCAGCATGGGAGCAACACATAGTCAGTTTTAAGCCCATGTTTTAAAACCAATACATTTAAGTGACTTAAATATCCTCTTTTACTGAGAGTCTGAAAGCAGCACTATCTCAGTAGCAACAAACCAGCGCCCAGATGTTGGTTTATATTTCCATTCTCTAATAAAAGGAACTGAGGCTTCTTGGAGGATTGGTTCATTTGAGGGCTAAGGAAGGGAACACGTCAGGAGAGACTGGAGCACTGGGTAGAGCAGTAAGTGAAGAAGTGCTCTCAAGGCAGGACGATGTGCATATGCCAGACATGCTGGAGCCAACCAAAGAGCCCCAGTGGCCAAAGCTGGGACAGTTTGAGCAGCAAAATAACTTAGGTGGTATTGGATTATAACCCAAAGTATTAGCAGCAGCTCCGTGAGTTCATATAGATATAAAGAAATGACCTGAAGAATGTTACTCATGAGCAGGATGGATAAATATCCCATCACAAGAATTCCAAGGCACACATATACCCACTGGCATGAACAAGTAGTCCACCACCCTTTACCTGTGCATTATAGCAAAGTCTAGGGGGATGTGGTACTAAGTGGCATGTGGGATTCTGAGTAAAACTAAAGGAATTCGAATGATGTGTGGACTTGTGTTAATAATGATGGGGCAATATTGATGGTGGCAAATCTGGCTACTACTGTAAAGAACTACTAACATAGGAAACTGGGTGTGGGGAATGTGGGAGCTTCCTGCAATATACTGTCAAAATTTTGGAAATCTTAAACCACTGTAAAATAAAACACTTTTTAAAATAAACTACCTAAAAAGTGTCACAAGTTGGTTTAAGAATCACTTAAAGTTATGCTAAACCCTACCCTGTTTTTTTTTTCAAGATGTTGCCTTCTGTTTTGACCTCTGGGATTCTGAGAATTCTGATAAATGTCCCCCTCCTTTTGAAATGTGGGCTGTGGAGTTCCTTCCAGAGGGGGGTTGGGCATTGAGATTGGGAACACATCCCTGGAAGACACCCAAGGAAGAAACAGTGTCATAAGTCTAGAAATTAAATTTGCTAATGTTCTCAGTATTGATTCGCGTGGAGCATTTGACATATCTCACACTTTTATACAGCACTGCATCACAGAATCCATTGTACCTTAATGCTGTTTTTTTTGTTGTTTCTTTCTTTCTTTTTACCATTGATCATTTCAGTGTGACTCCAGGCTCAGCATCCGATGCTAAAAGCAACTCTATTGAATATCTTTCTTCAGGTGTCAGCATTTTCTACTTGGGAGAAAGAATTACACAAAATTGTCTTTGACCCACGCTATCTCCTGCTAAACTCTGAGGAAAGAAAACAGGTAACATCGTGGTAAGACAAGATGGCAACCATAGAGATAGAGAATTAAAATAACTGCTTCATCCTGAGACCAGGGAGCCTTGTCATTACTGACAAGCAGGTGCCAGCTGTCTTAATTTTGCTGGAGAGCTTAGAGTAAGTGTTCTAGCTTGTGAGCTTGTGAATGGCACATTAGAAGTGCAGAGGAGGGTTATTCTGGGAATCATTCTTTTCTGACCATCCAATCATGACCCCATAGGAAACACTTATAGTCAAAGATGAGAAAGCAAGTTTGGGGAACATGCATCATATTTCATATTTCAAATGACTGCAACGAATATGTTTGAAATACCAAATATTCAAGCATTTACATAATGATGGTGGTACAGAAAAGATCCAGAGAACAATTCCAACATAAGTAACAGATGAAAGGTTTAGAAAGCGGTCCCAGGAAAGCAAGGGCTGGCTTGGGGGTGAGTGTATGGGGGAAGCTAAGGAAGCTGGCCATGTAGCACTGCAGCATCCAAAGAACATCTGGTTGCATGCCTGCAGCCTCATTGATGGGGAAACTGCCCTTGTAGTGACATGCAGAGTGGAGCTGAACTGAGGAAAGAAACAATATTGGACCCCTTTCAAAAAACACAGGGCTTTTAACAAGTAACTTGGGTGAGCAAGGATCAAACACAGAATCTGCACAGGACCTAGGATCACAGTGTTTTCCTGGGGAACTAAGGCTCCTGTTGTGAACATTACAACTGTTCCTCTACTAGGGGGTCTCCAAAGAAGATAAAGTGAGCCTAAAGAGAGATTAGGGTCCAGGGAGTACTAATCAAGCCTGTTTCTATGGTAACATGCAGTGTTTCATTTTATTACACCAGAGCATGTAGTAACGAGATAATGGCCAATGCTATCACTTTTTAAGAGTCATGCCCCATTTTGGATAACTGATGTAATTTATTAGAGGGAAAAGAACCCCTGCTACATTAAATTATAGTGGCATAAAAAATGCAACAGAGAGAAAGAGAGAAAAGAGAGAAAAATCTGATTACATGGATAAATGGTTCCAGGCAGAGAGAGATGCAGATATTTCTTTTGAGCTCTGAACCCACAGCCAGCCAGCCTTTCTATCCAGATTTGAAATTAATAGAGCAAAACTCTCGTTAATGATGGAGCCACATGCTTTTACTTGGATAATAAGCCTGCCTTCACTTTTTTTTTATTAAATTATGAAACAACTAGAGAATATACCTTACTATTTGCCTTGAAGGTAAAATAAGCCAATCATATTCTTAAATATATATGTGTTACAAATCTAAGTCAAATTCATGAATATTTCATTCTGCTGCTGAGTCCTCAGGAGGTAAGTAGCATTTTGTATTTATAATCCTGCAAAGATTTGCCATTAAAGAACTAGGTTCTGAAGCAATAAGACATAGTCAAAAGAGAGCCAGTGAAGGGGCTTTTGTCTGCTCTGGACTTCACTCTCCCACCTTCATCACAGCAGGAAAGCTGGAGACAACTGTCTCCACCCCACCGAGGATCCATTCCAAGATCTTCCTGACCTGACCTGGTACAGACTTGCTATTCACTGGACTTGTGTAATCATTTGGGCTTTTTTTTAACCAATATTTTTTATTTATGTTTGCACAAATATTTAAATTATCACCAATTTATTTTTTAATGCTCTAAGGCTTAGACAGAATTAGGAATGAAACAACTTCATGCACCCCCTCAAACTTTATAGTCTATAAATGACAATTTTTCTAAGGTTACAACTATGAGCGATATTATGCCAACAAAAGAATGGGCATTCTGTACACCGTAGCAAAGAGATTTCATCTTTTTCTATGGCTCCCAACTCTCAAGAGAGAATATCCTGGAGTCTTGGGTAGATTCGTTTACCAGAAAATATTCACATGCTGTACGCTGAGGAACAGAGTTTTCCTAATGGGGTCAGTATCTGAAACCTTCTTCTTGTCAAATGAGGACATGTACTGTGCCTACAGTCAGGTCACCTTATTCGTCGTGTTTCACACTGATGGCCAAGGTGACTTGGAGCTCCCTCATCCCTCAGGCAAGTAAAATAGTTTTCTTGGAAAATTAGCATGTGGGAATCAAAGATTCTGAATGTACTTTCTATTCCCAAGTTAAAATTATTTTTGGAGCCTCAAAGACCAATTACAGCACCATAGGAAGGGACTAGAACAGAGTAAGTGCCTTCAGGTGGTTAGTAGCTCTATGGCAGTGATAAGAAAGTTGACAGACTGTGTATCCCTGTGGATGCTACTCAGAGTCTCAAATGAGAAGCACGGTGGCTTTCAGAGCTAGGGTCTTCCAATTCACCTGGGCTTTCATGATGCCCCAAAGAACGTTGCCAAGTCATTCCCAGGACTCCTAAAGTAGGGCTGGTGGGATGATTGACCCAGAGATGGTACTTGTGTGTGCATCAATGTACTGGGCCCCAGGGGCATCCCTTAATGCCTCTGTATCACTGACAGTATTGCAATGCAAGAGCTATTGCTTACCGCTCCAGTAACTGGGAAAAAATTACCTCAGATTCTTGCTAGTTTTTCATGCTGTGTTTAGAATACAAAAATTTCATTTTTGGTAACCAGTTCCATAATACTTCTGTGTATGTGTTTTAAGATATTTGAACAGTTTGTCAAGACAAGAATAAAAGAAGAATACAAGGAAAAGAAAAGTAAATTGCTGCTAGCCAAAGAAGAATTCAAAAAACTTCTAGAAGAATCTAAAGTGTCACCCAAGTAAGGAAGGGGGAACACAGAAGGTGTTTTCTGGGGCTGGAAATTTCCGAATTACTGTGAGGGGACTCTCAGAAACTATTTTGTTGGGGCTGGGGATTTAGCTCAGCGGCAAAGCGCCTGCCTGGCAAGGGCAAGGTCGTGAGTTCGGTTCCCGGTACCGGAGAAAAACCAAAAAAAAAAAAAAAAGAAACTATTTTGTTAAATCACATAACCTAACTTTTCTATAGACACCAACAAGGTTACTTCAAAGGCCTGTGCGTATAGAAACCTGGCTTTTCTGTCAGTCTATGGACCTTAGTACTTATCAGCCCAGCTTTGATTTCTGTCTCAGCTGCTGAACTCTGTATTAGCTACCTTTTCTTCCCTGGGACCAAATACTGGCCTCATACAGTTTACAAAAGAAAAAGTTTATTTTGGTTCATAGTTTCAGAGGTTTCAATCCACGGTCTGCTGTCTTCTGCCTTGCAAAGCAGAGACATCAGGGCAGAAGGCTGTGGTGAAGAAAAAATGCTCATCTCATGGCAATCAGGAAACAAAGAGCAGGAAGAAAGTTAGGCAGGAAGGGGATGGAAAAAGTATGACCTTCGTAGTCATGCTCCTAGCTATCTACTTCCTCCCACTGACCCCGCCTTCTAACAGCCCATTTAACTATGAACTTGTCAATGGGCTAATCCATCCCTGAGGTCATTCCCCCTAATACATGAGTCTTCTGGGGACACTGAACATTTAAACCATAACCTATTTCTCCCTACATGTTTTCAAAATGTCAGCATCCCTGAATCCATGACCTCAATAACAAATCAATAGTGAGCCTCTGTTAGATGCGGACCAGCTTGTGATCTACTGCCCAAAGTGCAAAACCAACATCTGGCCCCACCACCGCTCCCCACACAAGCCCCACTAATTTCCTTGGTTTCAGAGAGCTTGGCAGTTGGGCAGAAGGGTTGTACACTGCAAGCCCACTAAGGCAAGGCACTTCATAGTTTCAGAGGTTTCAACCCACGGTCTTCTGGCTCCAACGCAGGGACACAATGGCAGCAGGTTGTGTTAAATAAAAGCTGCTCAACTCATGGGAATCAGGAAGCAGAGAGCAGGAAGAGAGTTGGTTGCCCAAACTCCTTAAAATAACAGAGAAGATATTATTTCCATGAAAATAAGGAAACAAATAGGAAAGTAAATGTTAGAAATTAGAAAAATACCTGAGCTCAATTCTTCTTTAGAATTAGAGTTGACTCATTTTTTAAATAGCAAATATCCACCACTTGTATTTGTATCATAAGTCCCCAACTTCCAAACATTTAAATTTTGAACTCTCACAGATGTACTATAGAGGACTCACTTTGTGGGCTTCTGAACAAATCTGACCTCTGAACAATTCTCTAGAACCACACTTGATAGGGACTTAGCTGTAGTTTGTTGAGGGACTCTGATGTATCACACAGTCCTCCAGCCTGACCTTGGTTGCCTTTCTCAGATCCCTCGTGAGTGCCCTGAAGGAATGTTGGCATCACAAACAGTCCTGGGTACCCAGGATTTTAAGTAGAGGGCCCAGATCCATACAACTCTGGGGTTGCTGGAGCATCCCATGGAACTGACACCTGAGGCCTTGCAGCAGACACCTCTTACACCGGCCAACTGGCTGGTGCCCCTGTTTTTACCAGAGGCAGAACTGAGATGCACTGTCAGTGACTCACATGATCTCCCAAACTTGGGAACAGCTTTCCAGAGCCAATGGGAAGCCAACTCTGTCTCTTGGCATGGCTAAGGAGCAAAGAGATATATTTCTTTCCTTTTCAGAGACACTTTGCAGAGAGATGTATAGCAAAGGACCTGTGTAGGGCTACCCCCGCACAGATTCTGAAAGACCCAGGCTCCTATGCAGACAGGCAGAGGGAGTAACAAGTCTCCAAACTCTCACCACTTTACTTTTCACATGCAGTCCAGTGAAGAAAGTGTGTGCTAGCTATGTAGCACCACAATTATTAAATTATGAAAGCAAGGAAAAGAAGAGCAAAGGAGGGAAAAGAGAAGAAAAATAGAGGAATTTTTTTTTTTCACAAAGAACCTGTAAACAAGTGGCCCACAGGCAAAAGAGGAAGATGGCAGCTGGATGGGGAGGAAAGCGGGCTCATTGTCCATAGACAACAATGCTGCTGAGTCTAATAATGACTCTTCTTGTAAGAGCCTTATCAGTATACTTTTATTCATGTATACAGAAGTTATTTAGTTATAATTATTTACGATGCTAATTAAATGTCTACAGAAAAATGTAAAATCCTCTGTAAATGAAATGGAGAAGATAATAAGAATCCCATGGGCAAAGAATAAATACATTTCCATGTGCCCCAGGGCACCTGCTCCAGGTTAGCAGGCTCCTGGGTAGCAGGCATGGTTGTCTGTGGCTTGGAAGAGAGGTTTGTAGGATCATACAAGCTGCTGTAGACCTTGGCTACTCCATTGCTGCCAGTCTCCCTGGCTTCAGGTCAAAGACTTGCAGGCTGGGGTCACAGCTCACACAGGTTACCCTTGTCACTGCAAAGTCTTGGCCACTTCTTTGCTCCTTGCAGTGCCCCAGCCTTTGCATGCCCCCCCCTCAAATTCTCTTGTATACAGGACTCCCAGGGTGACAATTGCCTTCATCTCATGAGAATTTCAATGCTCCCCACCTGGTGGTTCAGTGTAGCTCAAACTGCCTTAGTTAAGAGGAGCAGAGGCTGAGATAAGGTGCCTCTGTTCAGTGTGGGAGAATCGAGTCAAATTGTACACTGAGGTTGAACAAAATCACAGTGGTGACCAAGCCCATGAAAGAGCAATCACAGTTCTCCAGGCTTCTAGAAAGGTTACGCTTCCTAAGGAAGGCACAGTGACCCTGAGTTCTAATGAGAGTGGGCACCAGCTAGATAAAGAAAAAGGAGAAGGGTGTGTCAAGCAGAGGGGATGGCATATACAAAGCCCAGTGGAAGGTAGGCTTCTAGTGGGAGCAGAGGATGCAAGAAGATGACTCCAGTGGCCACAGAAACAACAAGGGGTTGGGAGTGAAAAGGGAAGCCAAGACTCACTTTCAGGGATGGTAGCTCAGAGATTGTTTTATTTTCCAGGACCACGTTTAAAGAGTTTGCTGAGAAGTATGGCCGGGATCAGAGATTTCGACTTGTTCAAAAAAGAAAAGACCAGGAACATTTTTTCAACCAATTCATACTTATTCTTAAGAAACGGGACAAGGAAAACAGACTAAGGCTACGGAAAATGAGATGAGTCTGTGAAAAGTGCAATACGCCGTGTGGGGCAGCTGAGAGTGCAGCTAGGGAAGATTACAGAGGCAGCAGGCAAGGTCTCTCTGGCAGAGCTGAGGCAGGCTGGGGCGCTGCGGGTATTTTGTTCTCAGAGGATTACTGTTTCATATTGAAGCTCTCTCTTTTGTACAACGTTCAGAGTTTGATGCATTTCTAATTGCCATGATATGTTGATCCCTTAATTGTTTTAATTATGCAAATTACTTGTAATATACATAAATTATAAATCCACTGCAGGTTTGTAACTAAGCAGAACCAGGCACCATCTATAATGATCTCAAAGCATTTTCATCACTCAAAAGGATTATCTCAAACTTCTCTGAAACATTTGCGAGTTACTTCATTTCTGCAGGATTTCTGTGGTGTTGAGGAACTCTTAACTCCAGTGTCCCTAGGTCTCAGTCTCGTTTTCTGAGTAGTAGCAATAGGGTTTTATCATTCATCATAGTGACAAGCAGATATTTGACACATGGACCATGGATCACCTGCAGGTAGCTAAGGGTGACCTCATTCACCTGTGAGGGGTATCCAGGCCAGGAGAAGGATGCCACATCGGCCATCAGAGGTCCTACATAGAGAATTATTTTGTACAAAATCATCATATTAATATTTGAGTTATTTTTATTGTATGCCCAGAGTTTGCATGAGATTTTTCTCATCATCTTTGTATAAAAATTTTAAATTTTTTTAATTAATAAATATTTTAAACCAGTATGTTTTTGTGGCTGAATCTTCCATCTCATTTTAAGAAGGAAAACTGTTTCAATCAGAGAGATCCAATTTCAAGATTCAGAGGAAAAAGTATGATTGTAAGGTGGTATACGTTACTTATCCAAAATCTTGCTCTCCAAGATTATTAGCACTGGGTTGAACAATGTTTGATAAAACCATAGCTAATTAATAGCATTCTTTAAGACATTGAACTTTTATTTATCTATTTCAAAATTTATGACATCTCTACTCAGAGATGATATCTTTGTTCCATAGCAAATAGTGACAGCCTTCTCATCTGCATTCACCTTTGTAGTCCTGATAAGAACACCTTTTGCCACATGTATTAGCAGGTTATTGGGTGCCTTAGTCACTTTCTCGTTACCAAGACAAAATACCTGACATTGACAGCTTAAAAGAGAGGTTTAATTTGGATCACGGTTTACATGCATGGTTAGCAGGCTCCAAGGCAGAAACCTGATAGCAGAGGAGCATGGCAACCCATGGCAGCCAGGAAGCAAAGAGTGAACAGAGAAGTCAGGAAGAAGTATGTGTCCTGTCACATCATGGCCCCAGTAACCGACCTCCAACCAAGGCCTACTGCCTAACACCACATTCAGCTACTGAACTTATCAGTGGATGAACCCACGGTGAGTATAGCAACCCCATGATCCAGTTCCCTTCCACACACATGAGATTTGGGGGACATTTAAGACCTAAATCATGACATTGGATGAAGAGGGATACACCCTGATCTTAACATCTGGGTTGCTAATGTGTTCCCTGTCAGGCATCTCCTGCAGTTCCAGAGCACTGCTCAGGTTCTAGCCATTGAGAGAGCTGCCCATACACCTGGCCACTACACAGAGGTATGTGGAGCCTCCAAAGCAGTGCACAGGGGGCTAGGCTTAGGAGAAGCCAGTGCCAATTCAGGGTCAGCCAGGATTCAATTAGGAATGCAAAACTACCCTATACTTTATACTATTGTGACATTATAATGGAAGGAATTATTTATGTCACAGGCCACTAAAGTCATGGGGTGTGGTCAGATAACAGCAGATAATATAAGATGACAGACAAATGGAGCAGCCATTTTCCACAGGACTCAGAGAGCACCACAAAGAGAAGGTCTCCTTCATAGTGCTGGGGTGGTACCTTGTTGTAAAAGGCATAACCATGGCTCAGTGAGAGGTAGAGGAAGCATTATGGTGCTCTGCCCATGGAACCTCCTGGTGTCTACCCCTGAGAGGCTGGAAGAGTCATTCATGTATTATCATGTCTCAATGGGTGTACTCTGCCCTAAACCAGCCAGGTAGCCTGGTGGGTGCTACTTACTACTGAGGCCTCTGGATAGAGGCAGGAGAGACACAAGCAACTTCAGGGGATGGGAGCTTCTTGACCTCTGGGTTTGCAGGAAGGTTGGACCCTTCCTGCCATTGATAAACATTCATTTAAGGGGCTTCTCAGGCAGGTTCCTGCCCTAGTAGAGGCTGATCACCTGAACACAGAACACCAGGTCAATGCAACCTGAATTGCCTGTCTTCAGTTCTCATCTCACTCACCTAATGCTAATGAAATTTACTCAGCATGTATTTCATGTAAAACGGATAGCATGGACCAAATGAGCTGAACAGCTGTAGAAGGCATCAATAAATCCACATCCCCTGACACTTGGTGTCCTTGCACTGCTGCCTTTTCCTCCATCATACCTCTGCCTATGGCTTGTCTCCTTGTCATCTATAAGTGAAGAGGAAAACGTGTAGACTGGTATTGACAGCTGAATCTCTCATCACAGCTATGCTCAGGAGTGGCCTGAAGGCAGCGGTGAACTTCTCTCAGTAGCCAGAACCTAAAGCTACAGATCACAGTTTTGTAAACTGCCATCCATGCTGTGACAGGAGGTACTGTCCTTTAGGCTGCAGTCAACCAGGCTGATCAGGGGTTTGGAAAGCACAAATTAGGAAGATCAGGGCTGAAGAAGACTTGGGGAGGCTGGGTGTATTAGTCCATTTTCCATTGCTATAACACAGTACCCAAGACTGGATAATTTTTACAGTAAAGAAGTTTATTCAGTTGTGCAGTTCCAAGAGCATGACACTGTCTTCCTCAAGCTCTGGTTGTGACCTCATGGTAGGTGAGTAGTGGGAGTGTGTGGGTGAGGGAGAGATCACATGTCAGATAAGACAAACAGGGGTAGAGGACTTCATTGCTTTTTTATAACACCCCTATAGCAGGAACTACTTGAGACCCCAGGACAACTACATTAATCCCTTCTGTGGACAGATTCCCCGGTGATCCAGTGGTAAGGTTTGAATCTAGAATGTCTCCCAAACACTCATGTATTAAAGGCTTGGTGCCCAGTCCAGCGAGTGGAGATTGTGGAAACCTCAGAAGGTGAGGCCTAGTGGAGGTAAGCTAGATCACTGGAGACATGCCCTTGAACAAGATATTACAACCCTGGCCCTTTCTTGTCCCTCTCTTTTTGCTTTCCACATGCTATGAGATAAAAAGGTCTCCTCTGTGATGCAGGTGCACTATGGTGTCCTGCCTTACTACAGGACCAAAAGCATTGGGCAGAACTGACCAGGGACTAAAACCTCCAAAGTTATTTCCCAAATCAAACCTTCTATTTTTAAAAATTGTTTTGCTTCATGTATTTTATTACAGTAACAGAAAGCTTCCTAACACACCAAATGACTTCCTACTGGGTTGCACAGCTTGAAGGTCCTACATTGCCACACTGAGCACCAAGCTCCTAACACATGAAGCCTTGCAGGAAATATACTCAAACCACCTCCAAATACCAGCTGTCAAAATGGGCATAGAGTATGGACATGTTTATGTCCATGCACTTGAAGGAGCCACTTGACAAAATGTTTTCAAAGCCTACATGCCTTCTACACACATTTGAAGAGCCTGGACTCAGACCCTGCTGAGCCCTCTTGATGATACCTGTTGTGTGGCCATCTGTTTTCCGTCAACACCTAGCTCCTCTAATCACCATCATCAGCATTACAGTCCTTGCACTGAACAGTTGTTACCACAACTACACACAGCCACACCCAGAATGACATTAACAGCGGGATGCCCAGGATCGTGTAATTGTAGCCTTTGGCCTAGAGACAACACGACAGACACCCAAGTCTTAGCACTTAGCAATGCCCAAGTGCCTGAGGTCCTGCAGGGAAGCTGCCAGGGGCCTTTGATTCTCCTCCAAATATCTGGGAACTTATAATTTTATTTATATAATCATGATTATGATTTTGTAAATAGTATTTGGAGTTTTAGATACATGATTGGTAGGTAATTTCTAAGTCATATGTCCCTCTATATTCTTACCTACCTCTGGATCAGTAGACATATTGAGATGGAAGGTGAGCTTGGATATAATCTGGTAAGCCCTCAGGGAGAAAATTAAGTCTTAAAATATCTTCATGTTCATGGGCAGGTGGATAATATTTCAATTATTTTTCTGCTTTTAAGTTCTGTAGGTGTAATTAACATTTTAATTCTTATATACATATTTAAAACATTGTAGAAAAAGAGTGAATTATGTGAGTTTTAAAGCCACAATTTCCTTTACTTTTTACATATGTCGTGTTCATTTTAAATGCCACTAGCATAACATGGATGAGTTCTCTAGTAACCTCTAAGCTGTTAAGTAATAAATAATAATAATAAATACTATACCAGAGATACTGAATATGCAACAATCTATGTGTTGGAAGGAGAGACAGGACATTCTGTTACTGACCACTGTATCATACCTTCCCCCCATATTGCAGCAGCCAGGGTCTGGGGACACAGCCATAGCCTGGTCCTGCCTGTCACCCACACCTCCAAGATTTTGCTATTCCTTTCCTTGGGCGCTGCTCCTCTCTCACATTCCCACTTGGACCTTTGCTGACTGGCTCTGTGTCCCTAATGCCCCTCCTTCACCTGGTTCACTGATGATACTGGATCTGTCCCTTTCTCAGTACACTGGGGCTTGTCATTCAGTGCTCTCATCTCTCTGAGATCTCAACTCTTGGCTCAGGCTTCATGTTCCAGCCAATGAGACAGTCCTGAGAGGATGAGAGCCCTGATCTCTGGGTCTTCCTGATCTTGAGCAACAATGACAAGCATAGGAATTTCAGAGTCATTGACAAGCATGGCTAAGGTAGATAAACCTGAATAGATTCATATCACCGTTGTCTTTTCATAGGCAGTGATGACAAATTTTTCAACGTTGGTGTGCCAAGTGTTTATATCCTTGACTAGTGTTCATTGTCCCTGCTGTTTATTTTCTTGTTGTTCATTGAGTGAATTGCTCAAACAATCTATAAGCAATAAGAAAAAATTGTTCATTAACATTTTTTTCAAATACATTTTTGCTAGGCTTATACTTATGAATTAAAGTGTGACCCAGGTCAAAGATTCTTGATTATTCATAAAATCCTCAAGACAATGAATGCACCTTTGCTGGAAACCAGTGGTGTAGAGGATAGTAGAAGAGTGACCGTTTCAGAGCTCCTGTGACACTTTGGTTGATTCAGGCTCCCAGTCTTTGAGAAGCACCAGCTGACAACTAGCAAAGCAGACACTAGCCCCATCCAGATCACAGACTGGTGAGCAAAACAAGAGCTGTCATCAGCGTGAGCCACTGTGTCTCAGGGTGACTTGGTGTACAGTCACTGTGATTAGAACCCACTCCTGCTTCAAATGACCATGGCCTTTGATCTGCAAATAATCCAAATATTAATCCTAACATATAACTTAGCAAGTACTTCTTCTAGGACAGGCATAGCAGGTATCAAGCCAAGTGCCTTTGCTCCTTGCTACATGCAGTCCATCAACAATCCCTGAAGGTAAATTTCCTCTCTACTCTCACTTCCTAGAGAACACTGAGGATTAGGAAGCAACTGTTTTACCCAAAGTCACCCAGAGCGACAGAGCCAGCACTTGTACAAAATCTGTTTGGCTCCAGAGTCTGCAAACCTGTACCTTCCCTACTGCGTATCTCACGAGGCTAATAGCCACCTCTCTTGCTCCATTCCATAGTCCATCCTTTATTCCTGCAGTGTCCACTGTGCAGCTCTTGAACTAAGGGTCTAGAAGAAAACTCCATGAACCAGGTCTTCATTGCCACCCAGAGACAAGTGGGAGGGCCAGTCTCATGGCCACAGCCAAGTAGCTAGTCTACCACATCATAAGTACTGTTGAGGCACACAGAGGGGCCAGTCCTTTTGGATAGCACCTTCTTATTACATCCTCACATTACCAAAGAGACTGGAGAGCTCACTGAAGGCTCTTTTATCAGGGCACTAATTCCATCCACAAAGTCCCCCCCCTTAGAACATAATCTGGAAGTCCTGCCCCTCACCTTGAGGGTAGGTGTCAATATGAACTTTGGAGAGATGGAGAAATTAAAGCCACAGTAAGTGGCATTATGGACTTGAGGGTTACAAAGATCATAGCAGCTGAGACGGGTACAAGGGCATGACTCCATGACAGCAGTTAGAGGGAGCTCACTAGGGTGGGGCATGAGAGCTGAGACAGAAGGCACAGATGCGAGGACAAGGGCTCAGCCCAGTAGGGTCAAAAACCAAGGGAGAAGGACCTAGAGTATGAGGACATCAACAACAAAAACACAGCTACTGACAGGATGAGGCTCTGACCCTTTACCTGAGATCCTTTCTTCCCTGGAAGCATCCCACTCACACGGGACTACCCACAAACAACTGAGTGTTCGTTATGTTCACCAGCTTGAGCCATGACCCGAGAGTCTCCGACAGAATGGAAAACCAGATTTTCTGACCACTCAGGACCCAGTGCCCGAAACCATGGGAACCATGAAAAGTCTCTAGGACCAGATAGGTCCCCTGAGGGTGAGTGTGCCAGTGTAGTTGTATGCCCAGGGCCTTTTTTCTGCTCTACAGAGGGCCTGGCAGCTTCTGATATTGAGTTCTGGAGTTAGAGTCTGAGCTTGGGAATCTGCTTTTCTGAGCTGTTGTCTTCCCATCTGTGTAGTGGGTAAACTTGTCCTGCCTCCTGTGGTGATGGATGTGACTGTTAAATTCTTTTTCTTTAAGAATAATCTTCCTCTCAAGGCACAAAGAGAAACTAGATGAGGACTTTTCCCAGTGCCCTGCAGAGGTAAATCTCTAGAAGACCCCTGGTTGTCTGTGCCAGATACCCACTGAAAGGAGCTGAAATGATGGGGCTCGGCCCCAGCTGGATCGGTGGGCTAGGGACTCTAATGTCCCGGCTTCTGGCTGTCAAGAAATGTGCTTGTGTAAGCTCATGACACCTAGAACTGATGATGCGGCTTCCTTCTTTACTTCTTTCTTGTTTTTCTGGTGCTGGGAATCAAATCCTGGGCCTTATTTATGCTGGATAATTGTTCTACCACTCACTGAACTATCTACCAAGCCTTGGTAACTTCCTTTATTATGAAGAGTTCAGCTGTCCCAGGGGCCAAGAGGTTTGCCTTGAGTGGAGCAGTTCTCTCTTCCTAGAGGGAGCTTCTCTTGGGAAGACAATGTCCAGGGAGCCCATTTGACAAGCACAGAACAGAGCAGGAAGAAGACTTCCCATAGTTGTCCATTTGCCATGGAGGGAAGCTAAGTTTAGGCCTATTCATCTATATCGCAAGGATGGCTTTCCCCAACAGCCCATGGCTCTCAGGGTCGGTTAGCGCTTGTCCTCCAGACTTAGCAGTTAGACTAGCTCGGCTAGTACTTGCCCCATTTTCTCCAGTGTTACTCTGAACCTTACCCTTTCCACTCTTGCTAGTGCCTCTTTTTGAGAAGCATGAACACCTATTATATCAAAGCCAAGTTGTACATCTCAATATCCATTCTCAGCAGTGACTTTGACTTCTCATTCCTGATCCATTATCTGAAAGTCTATCTTGTACTTAACTTAGGGGAGCACTTGTGGAAGGCATCTTCACATCTGGCCCCTGGTTGCTCTTCATCTGACCACTCCTTGAGAACTGGCCCCTGCTTCAGATGTTAGAATCTTCTGAAACCAAGAAAGTAAATGGGTGACTTTGACTTTAAGGATTCCTTGGAAGTGTGAAACATGAACTAGACATGCCTACTGTAGCACCATTCCTGTTTTGACGGATACCTGCTGGTGCAAGCCCAGTTA